TTTCTTCAGGTTCAAATGTGTAGTAACGGTGGTTTATTAACTGTTTAATATCTGTGAAAATGCACAAATGTGGGAAAATGAAACAAAGTCGCTGGACGTAACTTCTCGGGATCCTCCAAAAAGTCCACAGAAATAATCTCAGTAAATGACCACCATTTTACTGAGATTATATTTCATCCCATCCCATCTCATCTCATTTCATTTAATTTCATTTCACTCCAGATTATAATTTTTGATAAAAATAAGAATAGAAATTAAAATAAGACATGACTTAAAGGTCTTAGTTACCAGGTTATAAAATCCCTTTAAAAAAATAATTAAAGTGCTTAAGTCATAGCTTTGACATACTGACGTCTGTCACATTTAGACATATGGCCGAACTCTAACGTCAGTCGAAGACAACAAAACAGAATATTCCCTTCAGCAACGCACCGATAAAAGAGCTGAAAGAAAACTCATCCTTTGTCGACCGTAAATATAATGTACACAAATAAATTGCGTGTCGGAATTCATTCGTGATCGTAAACTTTCACCCGGCATAGACTTCGAACAGAAACCATGTAATCAATGCGCTAGTTTCGTTCGATAATGTTTTGGGTCAAAACAATTTTCCCTGTCAGTGGTATCGTGTCAAAAGCATTGATTCTGCCACTGGGCTGTTTTAATTCGATTTTGATTGCGCGCCACAGTTCATCGAGAACCAGTGGTAGTAAACTGAAATTCGGTACTGTTAACTACTGTTAAGTAACGGTAGGATGCAAATGTTCGGGGGAGGCTTTTACCCGAACGAGGTACATACATTAAATAATTAGGTAATGGGTAATTAAAACAAACAATAATTAAACAAATTACAAAATAGAATTTATAATTAGAAACCAAATTCATCTAAGTGTAATAGATGTAATTGATTTTATTACTGTATGTATTCTGTATACTGTATTATTTTAATTTTATTACTGGTGGTAGTACCTTTTGTGAGTCCGCGCGCGTAAGTACCACCACCCCGCCTATTTTTGCCGTGAAGCAGTAATGCGTTTCGGTTTGAAGGGTGGGGCAGCCGTTGTAACTATACTTGAGACCTTAGAACTTATCTCAAGGTGGGTGGCGCATTTACGTCGTAGATATCTATGGGCTCCAGTGACCACTTAACACCAGGTGGGCTGTGAGCTCGTCCACCCTACTAAGCAATAAAAAAAAATTGAATTATAGGTTAATAAGTTATCAATTGTTATCGTTTAATTTTATACTATGCATGGATTTAAATAAAGCTTTATTATTAATTAAAAAAAATATGCCAAAATTTTACATATCAATATTCAGATATAATATTAAAACTAGAATAATTATATACTAAGAAAGCGTGTGTAATATCGTGTGGATATCACACTTGTTCGGTTTATAAAAAAAAAAGAATTATCATTTGACAGAACCTACTGTTGCACATTACTCTATAGTTCCAAATAAAGTCACGCACTCCACAACACTAATATCGGATTATTATCTTGAAAAGAACAATAAATCAAAGTCTTATTTACTGACTAGCAATACACCTTCTCTACTAATAAATATTCTGTATTGATTTAAGGCTTTATTTAAAAGTCAATGATGATATAGTCAATCAGGTAGGAATTATTTTTTTATACTAATAGTTGACACGTAAGGCGTAAGATGACTGATTCTCAAACCGGAAAGAGAATAATGTGGATAAGTTTTACTAACGTCAGTGGCAGATGGGCATTATTAACATAAGATCTCAGCTGGGAATCCAAGCCCTAAGGCAGTAAGTACTCTATATTTGACCAGTGCTTTGTAAAGTACATCCATTGAGACCAGCAGTGTGATATACTGTTTAGCTTTGTCTAGTCGTCGTGGCCTAAAGGATAGGACGTCCGGTGCATTCGTGTTGAGCGATGCACCGGTGTTCGAATCCTAGGTGGGTAGGTACGAATTTTTTTAATGAAATACGTACTCAACAAATGTTCTCGATTGACGTCCACGGTGAAGGAATAACTACATCGTGTAATAAAAATGAAACCCGCAAAATTATAATTTGCGTAATTACTGGTAGTAGGATCTTTTGTGAGTACGCACGGGTAGGTGCCACAACTATTTCTGCCGAGAAGCAGTAATGCGTTTCGGTTTGTAGGATGGGGCAGCCGTTGTAACTATAATAAGACCTTAAAAAAGCTCATATCTCAAGGTGGGTGGTGTCATTTACGTTGTAGTTGTCTATGGGCTTCGGTAACCACTTAACACCAGGTGGGCTGTGAGCTTGTCTACCCATCTATGCAATAAAAAAATTATAAAAAAATAACTATGGACTATATTACAAAATGCAATTGCAGTTAAGTTCAATTCAGAAGATTGGTGTGTAATCATTCAAAATTCAAAAGTCACAAGTGCCCGTCAAGACGTCTAAGTCAAACTCAAAAATAGATCGGTCATAACACCCTTGACATAAGGTTCAAGTGATGATTAGCCTACAAGCCGTATACGCTGTCCCCGTATCCACTGAAATGATAGTTTTTTTTTTACTCGGAAAATAGATTGAGATTGTGTGGTGCAAAAATTTTGATGTACCAATTTCAATTTTCATTATGAACACGTCTGGCCATCACTGTCGCTGAATATATTCTATAGTCTGATTTATTGTAACAATACGTGCGCCATCTGCTGTGCGCTGTGCGAACTATTATTATAGAAATCTTTTCTAAGGTCAATAATAGCACTACAAGCTATCAAAATAGCCGCCAACACGACCTGTTCGTATGTATCAGACGAAAGTATCGGTTTTAAGGGCGGGGCAGCCATTGTACTATAAAAAGTGAGACCTTCGAACTCATATCTTAGGGTGGGTGGCAGCATGGTGGTAGGACCTCTTGGGAGTCCGCACGGGTAGGTACCACCACCCCGCCTATTTCCGCCGTGAAGCAGTAATGCGTTTCGGTTCGAAGGGTGGGGTAGCCGTTGTAACTATACTGAGACCTTAGAACTTATATCTCGAGGTGGGTGGCGCATTTACGTTGTAGATGTCTATGGGCTCCAGTAACCACTTAACACCAGGTGGGCTGTGAGCTCGTCCACCCATCTAAGCAATAAAAAAAAAAAAGCATTTACGTAACACTAGGAGCAGGCTTAGGAACCTCGGTAACCGTACTCGTCGAACTCGACAAAGAGTTCGCCGTGCAACCTAACCCATGAATCAGCTCGCTGAGTTTCTCGCCGGATCTTCTCAGCGGGTCGCGATTCCGATCCGGTAGTAGATTCATTCGCGAAGCAGCTACTCTTGAGCTGTTATGTCTCCTTCGGAGGCGCTCGGGTAGCTGTTAGCAAATCCCACCCCTCCTGGCTGAGCCTTTGCTCGCCCACCTGTCCTGGTGAAACTGGAAAGGCCTCAGGGCCAACAGTAATCCTTCAATCATAAAAAAAAAGCATTTACGTTGTAGGTGTCTATGGGATCCGGTAATCACTCAACACCAGTTGGGCCCGTGAGGTCGTCCATAGATTTAAGCAATAAAAAATAAAAAGATAAATTTTAGTTTTTAATACACATTCCCTTGTGACTTGCACCACGTCAAACTATTTTTCGCAGTCGATTGCCTTCAGCTCTGGTCTCTCGTCCGCTGTTAGTATATGATGTAACGTAGCGTAGGTAATCCATTGCAAACATCAAGAAACTAATGGGATTATTTAATGAGTGACTTTTTATCGGTCAATTTTTTTAAAGACAATGTCCCTTTTTATGAATGAGGGATTAGTGGTCTCTCCAGCTTCACCAGGACAGGTGGGCCAGCAAGGGCTCAGCCAGGAGGGGTGGGATTTGCTAACAGCTGCCCGAGCGCCTTCGAAGGAGACCTAACAGCTCAAGGGCAGCTGCTTCGCGAACGAATCTACTACCGGATCGGAATCGTGACCCGCTGTGAAGATCCGGCGAGAAACTCAGCGGGTGGCGCATTTACGTTGTATATGTCTATGGGCTCCAGTAACCACTTAACACCAGGTGGGCTCGTCCACCCATCTAAGCAATAAAAAAAAAGCTCCGACGGCTAACCTGCAAAAACGGGATTGTAGAGACAATGTTCTCTTTTAAATAAAAAAAAAACATCGCACCAGACTCGGAAGGAAGCAGTTATAAGGCATCCGTAGATTTTTCACAAACAATAAATTTAATGATTGCTTAAAGACAATTATTTTACTTACTACTGTTAATGTGTTTGTGTTTTGCGAATTCTGAATCATGTATACATTCGATAGTATATATATTAATCATGGATATTATTCGTGAGAATGTCTTAGATACGTTTTTACTAAATGGTACGTTTCAATATATTTTATACTAGAAGGCAGCTCCGGCTCCGCTCGGGTCTTTAACAAAAATTTCAACGACGTAGTTTTATTTTTAAAAATAAAAGAACACTTATTGCGGCATAACTATAATAGTTAGACATATGCTGTCGCGACACTTTTTGTAAATAATAATGTGTTCTACAAAGTCGTAGTACATTATTTTATTCTATCATCAATAGTTTTCGCATAGCACGCGATGTAAAGTATATTTTAGGTAATTTTTTTACACCTTGGGTTACATTATTGGAGATTTAGTAAGGATCTATAACTTTTTTAAAAAAAAATTATAGCCTATGTCACTCGGGAATAGTGGAGCTTCAAAACAGTGAAAGAATTTTTCAAATCGGTTCAGTAGTTTCGTAGCCTATTCAATACAAACAAACAAACAAATCTTTCCTCTTTATAATATTAGTATAGAAGTATAGATTTTCGTATAGTCGCGCCACACAATTCGATTATACCTGAACCCCTCACAATGCTTTTAGAACGAATACTATTTTAAGAGATCCACAATAGCTAGACTCCGTAACTTTGCCGTCTATGCCGACTCTCATCCATGACTCAATACTTGATAGCAAAAGCAAATATATAACACACATATATACAAAGGACGAATATTTTTGACGCACGCAGCATGAATATTTAAATCTTACCTCAAATACTTCCCGCGTCGCAGAGAACGGCAGTACAGCGACTCCCACCAGTAAGTCGGCGACGGCTAGCGACACGATAAACAGATTCGTGACGCTGCGTAGCTTCGACGAGCAGAGCACAGCGGCGATAACGAGACAGTTACCTGGAAATGAAACGTAAGCAATATACCAGCAATTATGACTTGTCCTTCTTCAAACGAGGCTTGTGGGGAGTACTTAACGGTAGGCAGCGGCTTGGTTCTGACCTTGGCATTGCTGAAGTCCATGGGCCACGGTAACCACTCACCATCAGATGGGCCGTATTCTCGTCTGCCTACAAGGGCAATAAAAAAAAATAAGTTAAGAAGTCAGCTGTGAATGTTTTCTATAGTGGATGATGATACTATAACAATAATAAATTTTATTTCAGAATTAAATACCATGTCAAGTGTTAGTAATACAAAATCTTAAAAAAGCAGTATATTTTATTAATTTTACATTGACTATGGCTGGCCTTGAGCCAATATGGACTTCATTCCAGTGCCTCAGTATAGGGCAGCAATAGCGACTCCCTGTACTATGACTCCCTGACTATATGTCTACCATTTTTTTTAACGATACAGCGAATAGCCACTCGACGATTCTCTTTTTTTCCTACCTAAGCTGATGGTCTAGAGAAACCATGTCAGGGTCGCCGGGCTAGTAGGTGAGCTCACGGGGCTCAAGCCTGACGATGTTGCTAACAAAAACCCTACGCAAGAGCCGTGCTTCGCAGAATTTACCACCGGATCGAAATCGCGACCCACTGAGAAGATCCAGTGAGAAACTCAGTGGGCTGTCTGTGGGTTAATTTACTCGCCGAGCCCCTCGTCGCAAGCGACGCGTTCGAAGAAAACGATGACCGGGACGATTCTCTACGTGAATTCAGTGCACCTTTATAGTTGAACGATTTTACCGTCTTGACACCAGGTCAAGCTCTTGCAAGAACTCTGACGCATCACAAATTGAATGCCGCTCACTTTGAGACATGAGGGCTAAGTGACTCCGCGGTTAGCTCCCTTCAAACCGTCGAGTCTTACATAGCCCACGTGCCCTCTAGGCGCGGATACCTCGCAGGGGGTTTCAAAGCCCTGCACGGAGAAAAAAGAGGTCTATGTCTTAATTATTTAGTTGTATAGTTCAATGGCGGTACTGTTGCGGGGTGGGTCCAGGAGCTGTTTTAAAAAAACGGAAACTGTGTTTATTTTAATAGAAATATAAAAGAAATAGTCGGAGGCAGAGGAAGAGGCAGACCTAAGAAAAAAAAGATGGATTGCGTGAAAGACGATATGTGTAAGAGAGTGAGCGAAGAAATGGTATATGATAGAAGAGTATGGAAGGAAAAAACATTTTGCACCAACCCCAGGTGAATGGCAGAACGGCAGAAGGGCAGGAGTGGTTCTTTTAAAATCCACTAAAGTACGACCTAGCCTAACGCCTATACAAACAAATTATTAAGTATCTGTTCTGTTATTTAGAGTTCTCACAATGAACAAGTCGCGATTTATTTTGATCGATGCTCAAGGGCTCCCTTTCTTTGCAATCGTCGAAAATATTCCGAATTTCCGGTAAAATTGGTCACAATAAAAATATAACCATTATGATTGTCGCCGGGGCTCGCATCGACCCGAACTCGTTAACGGGTTTATTGCGATTCAAACCGAATTTTTTCCACATTTTGAATACGACGTCTTTTTTTTTATTTTTTAGTATTTCCAATATTTTGACTGCGGGAACAATCAACGCTTTTTTTTGTATTGTTCCTTTTATGTTCCATTGTATAAAAATAGTGGAGTGGTTTTTGAATGATTTTATGAAAAATTTCAAGGGTATTTCCGAAATCATACAGAAAACGATTTGCAGTAGGATCATTCTTCTTCTTCTAAGTCGTATGAACTCTTGGCAGAGTGGTCGTGGTCATCATTTCAGGTGGTGGTGCGTCTCACCAGACGTCACCATTCCTTGAGTACCGCGACCCTTCTTGTGTACTCGTTGGCGAGAAGCCCGGTCATCGTTCTCGTCGAACCCGTCGCTTGCGACGAAGGGCTCGGCGAGTAAATTAACCCACAGACATAGCCCACTGAGTTTCTCGCCGGATCTTCTCAGTGGGACGCGTTTCCGATCCGGTGGTAGATTCTGCGAAGCACTGCTCTTGCTAGGCTTGCTTGCAGTTTCGCCAGATTTGAGCCCCGAGAGCTCACCTACTCGTCCGGCAACGCTGACATAGCCTCTCAAGGCTATCACCATAGGTAGGAAAACAAAGTTGACGAGACCGTTTAGAGCTGTCTTTATTTGGTAGGTCCATCGTAACGGTGATCTGCCGCGCAGTCTTGTAACCTCTATCATGCTCTGCACCACAAGGCGCTCAACTAGGATCATATATACCTTGAAGTCGTCGTGGCATAGAGCATAAGAGGGCCGATTTAAACATATCAAGCGATGCGACGATGCATATGCTCAAACCCCGCAGATAGATCTCAATATATATTATCCTAAGAGGTTACGTAGGTAGGAATACTGCCACAATGAAGATGCTTATAGGCTCTGATAAACGCTTAACACCAGGAGAACCGCGAGCCCGTCATTCACCTCGAGCAATAACTGTGATTATTTATCCCAAACTAAAGCTCGAATTTGCGCCTCATAGGTGACCAAGCCCAGTTAACAATGGATAAGCCGTGAGAACGTTTTCCGAATAATCCATATATTAATACATTAAATCAATAAGTAAGACATTACACACACTGCCATGTATTTGACACACACACGCATATATACTCTTGTTTTTTGTTAATCTGTCGTCTAATTGAGAATAGATTAATATTGTTTGCCCTTAATATTACTTTTATATAGTGTAGCTTTGGCGACATTTGTGATTATAGAAGCATAATTATAGTCTTTGACAATTTAACCTTAATAACATTCAAACTTACAATTTAAATGAAATTATGGTCCAATTTCGACCACTGGGCGATCACTAATAAATACATATCTATACTTAATATTATAAAGAGGAAAGATTTGTTTGTTTGTTTGTTTCGAATAGGCTCCAAAACTACTGGACCGATTTGAAAAATTCTTTTTCCATTAGAAGCCGACATTGTCCCTGATGAACATAGGCTACTTTTTTTAATTTTTTTATATATATTTTTTTTTTGGTTTCATGTATGTTTTAATGTTTCCGAAGCGAAGCGAGGGCGGGTCGCTAGTAAATTATAATCACCTTTTTATTACCAGCCTAGAATGGAATTAGGAAAAACATATTTTTTGGTGAGACATTTTCTGCACACATTTATTACATTAACACAAGTTAATTCCGCGTCTCGTGTATTCTTATTCGGGACTTAATTGCCTGCTTTTGTTTTGTTTTTATGAAGCTCCTCCTTGTACGGTATCTTTGTAGGTTCCCGCTAATGAACAATCCTGGGCTTGTGCACAATGTGTTTAATAAATAAATGTTCTTTCTTTATTCATATGAAACAAAGAAAAGCGTGAATAATTTATTTAAAGCCAATTGAGATGCGACTGGTGAAACATGATAATTAAGAGCGTTCGAAAATTCATTATTTAGGTAAGAAGGAAATCGCCGGGCTTTTTTACTTATGGACTGAGGAGAGTATGCGGAATATTTCAGATTTGAACGGACTAAGGCTCTACAGCCTTCTAGTCACACATACAATAGAATCCAACTAAGTCACACAGGGAAAACTTCTTTATCCCCTAGTGTTTTTTAAATTATCGCTCATAAGCTATGAACTAACCACAAGGTATTATATTGTTACGCCGATAAGAGTAACGCTATCTATCGCCAAATTGTCGAACGAATATCGAACGATCTATTAGTGTCTAGAACGTTGGGGAAGTACAACGCCATCTATTGTCAGATAGCGGAAGCACAATACTAGAAATGTGTGGAATATTCTCGATAATTCTAGGGATGTGGTATCGGCTATAAAAGCGTTGCAGAGATGGCACGCAGTCAGTTAGTACTCGGAACTACTCGAAGCGAAGCGGAATAAACGAATTGAGAGTTTTAAGTGTTCTAAATGTTGAATACAGTTTTATCTGCGCCACCGAACCCCAGCGTGTAACAATATTTAGATCAGCGAATGAAGCGTTAAAGCAGTCATGAGTTTCGGTTCGAATTAAGGTACAGCCGTTGTTCAAAGGAAATTGGACTTCATGTTTCAAGGGGAGTGGCGATATTTGCTTACGGCCCCAATAAACATTAAAAATAAGGTGGATCATGCGATCACCCTTCGAAGCAATAACAAAAGAAAGAAAAAAGTCTTTAGGTCCACTAGCTTATTGAAGCTCTTAGGAGTGGTTCTCTTGCACCAGTTGGCTTTAGACTAGATATGTTTTTTTTTATTGCTTAGATGTGAGGACGAGCTCACAGCCCACCTGGTGTTAAGTGGTTACTGGAGCCCATAGACATCCACAACGTAAATGCGCTACCCACCTTGAGATTAAGTTCTAAGATTAAGTTCTAAGGTCTCAAGTATAGTTACAACGACTGCCCCACCCTTTAAACCGAAACGCATTACTGCTTCACGGCAGAAATAGGCAGGCTGCTGGTACCCACACACGCGAACTCACAAGAGGTCCTACCACCAGTGAAAATATGTCATGAATAGCTAATTCCACCCGACCTAAGTCAACATGCAAGCAAGATTGTCAGCAATCGTCAATACAGAAACGAGGCTGCATCTAGTAAAAATATTTGCATCATACCTTTTACATATAAACATATTTATATTTTGAAGACATTGTCGAATGTCACGAAATTGGAAAACCCAATTCTTTACACTTTGCGTCGTTTCGATTCTAAGCCATCCTGTATAGTACAATTCAGCACAATTTCCGACGTGCTCCAAGGATACTATAAAATAGACTACGTACTGAAAGGAGAAACTCGTGCAAAGATACGTTGAATTATTCTAAGCACATAGGCCCCGAACTCTTTCGAGTGTTTTTTGAGAGAGTTAACAAGAACGTAGGTGATTTTAATCGATACCCAGTATACGTGATAAACTTTTAACGCAGACGTGTCCGCTTAGTTTTCCGATGTAATGGGAAAGTTGTTAAGGTTTGAATTTTTGCTTAGCAAAGTTTCGGGTCGGGA